TTCAATCTTCATAAGCACCATTCAATCTCTGCAAACACATTCAATCTTCATAAGCACCATTCAATTTCTGCAAACACATTCAATCTTAATTAACACATTAACATCTCTTTAAACACATTCAATCTTCATAAACACATTCAATCTTCATTAACACATTAACATCTCTTTAAACACATTCAATCTTCATAAGCACCATTCAATCTCTGCAAACACATTCAATCTTCATAAGCACCATTCAATCTTCATAAACAGATTCAATCTTCATTCACACATTAACATCTCTCTAAACACATTCAATCTCTGCAAACACATTCAATCTTCATAAACACATTCAATCTTCATAAACACATTCAATCTCTGCAAACACATTCAATCACCCTTAACATATTCAATCTGTACAAACACAAACAGTCTCCATGAACACAATAGCGTGATTAGGGCCTACACGTTTACTATCACTGGTTCTTTTTTAAAAGAATAATTGATTTATTTTTGTATAATTAAATTTACAGAAAAATGAACAATAAAATAACAAATAAGCAATAAATATCATTTAAATGTCAAGTCTGAGCTTGGAGAAACAATGGAGTTTGTCATTATCCTCTGTTAAAGCAAAGTGTCATCTCAAAGCTGAAATGTTTCGGAGACCAGCTGAAATTGGTTCAGTGGCGTCCAGGTATCGACTCTTTCCACAAAAATTAAAAACCTCTCTTCCTGAACCATTTTTCAAAGTTTCAAATGACATTTTTTTTTTTGCTTGAGATAACCGGTTTGAAAAGTTTTCTTGAGATTTATAACATGTTCGACTTGTCCTAGAAGAAATTCTCACCGACAGTGATCCATCCGGTCGTGCTATTAATGTTTTATTTGTTAGAATCGGCAGGCCGCCTGTAAAATGTTTCTCAATTTCTCAGGCCTCTTTAGCATCTTTCAATGAATGCAAGCGGACAGCATTGTAGCGTCGCTGAATCTGAAACATGGTAAGCAAACATGTCAAGAACTGAATCAATCAAATAATTATGATCTAGCATATTTTTCCTTCGATAGTTAAAAATTGATATCACAAATAATAACTCTCTGGGTATGTATGCATGTATGGTTGTAAGGCTGTGTTCAATAGGCGAGTAAAATAAAATTACCAGAAGTTATTACTGATTGGAATTCTTATTAAATGCATATGTAGACAGGTAACTTTAGTGGTTGGGAAGCTCAGCACTGTCACTGCCATGTTTGGCCGGTTTTTTCTGGTTTAAACACAAAAAGACTTGACAAAATGTTCATTTGCATGCGTCAATTGAGCTAAAATTACTCTCATTAACTGAGCAGCCAGACGGCTTCTTTTATTTGCCTGCTGGGGTAATGAAACTGAAGCACTGGGTCAACCTCACAAGCTGTAGCAGCATAACCTGGAAACAAATGTCACATCTTTATCTGGCAAACTACAACACATTATTACCTGGCCAAGTAAATTTTCAGCTTCTGGAAACTTCTTTCTCAACTGCCGCCTATCTCTGAGAACATTGATCAACTTCTCTTCCTCAACGGTCGACCTGGTTTTAAGATGGGTCAAGACATCGTTGACTTTCTCTTGGTACGTTCGAGCAGGCTTTGATGGTGGAACGGGCACCTAGGCAAGCAGTAATAAACGAACGATTCAATCTCAGGATCCTAGTGGTAAAGCTTTAGGATCATTGATACAAGTGAATGCGAACCACCTAAACCAGGCATCGGGGAACTTATTTTGCTATGATCCAAAAATGTATCTGTTTAAACTGGCGCACACCCCCCCCCCCTTTTCCTCCAATGAGTTTATAATCATATATATAATTTAAATTCAATATGGTTATAGAATCTATTGATCAGGAAAATAAATTTATAAATATAAAAATATTATAAAATAAATTCTATAAAGTAAATGAATAAAATCCTTATCATGGAGTAAAATGATTTCTTAGAAAATTTTTACTTTAAATATTGGATAAATGATATTACACTTTGGACACAAAAACATTAAAAAATAGGAGAGCATTTTGGATAGGGGCCATCCATATATTATTACTTATGCTCTAAAGGGGGAGGGACTGTGAGGTTAAAGTCACATCACCCACCAACACCTTTTTATCTACAAAAAGCACTGCAGGTTTGCCAACCATTCGAAAATTTAAGATGAGACCATGCAGTTGGAAAATTAAAAAACTCATACGTAAATGAATGCCGTAAGTATTTTAGGTCGTGCATTTAAAAAAAAAAAAAAAAGTCCTTAAGACCTTTGAAGGGAAAAAACCTGAAAATTTAAGCATTCCTGAATCCTTATTTAACTCTACCAAGTATGGAAGCAGAAGGTAGTATGGAATATTAATATTAAGAAGGTCTTCAAATACTTTGCTGCTACAAAATGAATTTTAAAAAAAACTCTACGGTTGGCCCAAACTGCAGTCCTTCAATCTAATAAAAAAAAATCCTGTCCAGGGATGGACTACCTCCACCGAGCCCCTTTCCCATGACGTTGGCTGCCTAGGCAAAAAAATAACCACAACATAATCTGAGCGTTTTCCAGATACATTGGCCATTAGCTGCGTTGCCAACAGGAAGTTCTATTGTAAAAAGAAATGGGCCTTATTAATATATAATTTTATTTAAGTCTATTGAGCCCTAATTACCCCCTAGATTTTCATCTTTACACAATGTGGGTTAATTTGCATGACTCTTTGAGGACCCCCACATTAGGCGTTTCATCTCTGGTTATATGTCATGAGAACTCACACTAGTAGTTAAGCTCCAATTTTTTAAAACAGCTTTCTTTCTTTTGATGAATGTTTAATTAAAAGCACAGAGGAATAATTCTATTATTTCTTTTTTTTTATGTTGCCTAGTTTTGTTTATTGTAATCTTGCAGGATATCATCATTTCCACATAGATAAATATTTAAAGAGTAATACTAACTCTTCTGTATTCCTGAACCATTTTCTTGACATGGGTGAGCTCCACTGCTGGGTCCCTGTAGACAAGCATATGGTTTAAGGTGTGTTTCAGTGTCCGAAGGTTTCCTTGTACATCTGGAAATGACAATGAGTACAAAGCTAATGACAATGAGTTAAACACACAGAATAATCAAGAGTCATTAGAGGCACTGAATGTACTTAACAGTTTACTGTTGAGGTTTGAAGGCACGTCTTGCCAAATAAAAAAAGTTATATTTATTAATTGTAACATCAAAGTGGTTATGATTAGTAAAAAATTGGTTGTGATCCTTTTCATTTTGTTGTATAAAATGTTATCCGATTTATGTGTGTTTTAAAAGTTTTAGTTCCATTGTTGATTATAAAACGGGTTAAAAACTAATATGAGATAAGCGCTTACAAATAAATGAATTTTTATTTATTTAGAAAATTATCAGATAAGAAATTATGTTTGATCACTTTAATGAAAGTCTGAAACACTTGTTAGGAATAGAGAACACAGACTGTATTAGTAATCGAGATCACAGACTTTGTTGGAAATAGAGCACACAGACTTTGTTGGAAATAGAGCAAACAGACTTTGCATGCAGCTTCTACCAAGTAAGGGAAAGTCATTATTTTTTAAAGGCTTACCTTCCCATCACAAAAAATAATCATCTGGTTTGTGGAGAATCCATACATTTTTTTGGCGTTATTCCTTTTATTCATTATAAATTATATTACATTGAAACACGTTGGGTATTTAAAAAAACAAAAAAACAAAAACTTATTTCACCTTTAGCCAAAGGAAGGACAGGCTCATCATCCAACTCTTCAATGTCCAGCAGCAGTTCGTAGCCTTTAAATTTGTCATCTACAGCTTTAGCGTTGGATGTACCTCTTTTATCATTTTCTCCTGACTTTGTTGCTGCTGTACCGAACAACGACTGTTCTTTGGGAGGGTGTCCAGGTTGGCTCTCACCGACATCACCCAACTAATAAAAATGACCCATAAATTGTTACAGAAACTGTTGCATTAAAATAGGTCTCACCATAAAAAAAATTCACATGGGTCAAACTGAATCACTACAGAAGTTACTAAGGAAGATCAGATTATTAGCACCTGTGTTTTGATAGTTGTGTAAAATGGTGATTTCATCATTCAGGTTCATGTCCCATTACCTGTGTCATAAAAAACGTGTCTGATTGACTGTCTTGACCATCTTGAGTTTGGTCTCCCTCTTCTGCCTCCACAGTCTCCTCCTGGGTGAAGTTTTCAGCCGACTCATCTGGTGAGTCTATTTTAGGTGATGAGGTAATGGGAGGAAGGATGGGTGCTTGACCCCCCCCCCCTCCGCCTGTCACAAACTTTCACACTTTCTTACACCTGCTCTCTCCCCCCCCCCTCTGGAACGTGACGTACTTTATGGACGGCCCCTTGGGCGACTTCCTTTTCGAGTTATAACAGCTTTCAATATAAGACAAAGTATGGTCACAAGTTGAAATTAATGTCAGTAATCGGTCTGAGTCAAGGAGCGCTTTCCTGAAAGAGAAACATGAATCAAGCAACGTCTTTAAAAAAACGAAAATTATTATTATTATTATATTATATTATTTTTTTTAAAAAGTATTATATTAATTTTTTGGTTGTTTGCAGCTTGACAGCTACTGAAGACAGTTTGAATTGTGTTAGCCTACTTATCAAATAATTCTTTATCAATCTCCATTTTGAGAGTGAGTGCTTTGCTGGGAAGACAGCGGTGGGGAAAGTAAGAGTGCTGAATTTTACTGTAATGATACGCCAAATGAGAGCAGCAGTTAGCAGCAGTGTTTCTTTTCATAAATTTCCTCCGAGCGGGGATTGAAAAGGGGGGGGGGGGGCATTTCAGATGTTCGGATGAGAAGTCCCAGTGGTAGAGTTTGAAAAGTGGAAGGAAGCACTGAAAAACTTGACGATCTGCCCCACCAGACATGTCCTCACTCCAGTGGTGTAGCTAGGGATTGGGGGGGGGGGGATTTGGGGGCCCGGGGGGCTTGGCCTCTTTAGGGGCTCCTGCATTTTGACATTCGACATTATTAAGTGTAAAAAATATTTCGGACACGCCTTTTTGGGCCCCCTCAAGTAGGGGCCCGGGGGGACTTTCGAATTTGGACCCTCCTCCCCCTCCCCTAGCTACGGCACTGCCTCACCCCAGCCAGCCATGTTTTTCCTCCATCACCTGTAAAACCTCGAAAGCTGATTCCACTGAAGTGTTTTGTGTGCGAAATGTGTTGCACTTCCATGAAAATGTCTTTTCCAGTTGTTGTTTCGTGTATGCTGCAAACGGATGCCAGCTCTTGGGTTATCTGAAAGTCCAAATTGACCACACACAAAAAAAACACGAGAAGTTGTGACGTACTCGAGAGATCAGTAGGCTCATCCAGCGACAGAGAAGGTTCCTAGCGTTCTCATGCAGGCTATCTGTACCATTATGCTCTATCCAAGTTCCAAGTTCCCCTGTTCTCCGCACAGCTGAATTTGCCGAAAGGCTGATAGTTCCAAAAGCGGCGAGTTCGCTTTTTAATTCTCCCGTATTTTTTCAAACACCTCTCTTCCTTTCACCCATTTACAGTTTGTGGTAGTTGTCAGACTTAAACTGTAAACATATTAGCGGGAGAAGGATGAATGGATATTGATTCTTTTTTAAAATTATTTTTTAAACCAGCTTTTCCTTTAAAAAAAAAATAATTAAAAAAGAAGCTCGAGTTATTTGGTATGTTTTTTAAATGATTTCATCATTTTATCAATGAAGGATTTCATCATTTTATCAATGAAGGATTTCATCATTTTATCGATTAATTCTTATTGAAACACATCTTGTTTGTTGCTGATTTGACTTTGAGTTTGAACCACGCCTAATTTCACCGGTAACTTTGTTTACTGTTCTACCTCAAAAAAACTGTAGGCTACAATTTCGACGTAAACAAGCAAGTCGTTAACTTATTCTACGGTGTAACAATTGGAAGCCTACTTAATTTCAGTATAACCTGCTGGTGTGGGAATTCAACGTCTGATATTAAACACCGCATAAACCGACTAATAGAGAAAGCTAGGAACATAACACAAACTAAACATCCTTCACTTGAAGAACTATTTGAAGAAAGATGTTTTTGTAAAACTAAACACATTTTGGATGATACGTCGCACCCTCTTCATCACAGATACTTAGGATCGGGCCGTTCGGGGCGAATTCTTTCCATCAGAGCGAGGATTGAAAGATATAAAAAATCTTTTGTTCCCCAATCTGTACGAATTTACCAGCGTGCTCCCTCTTAATGAGAACTAATAAGTCCCTGATGTGGCTAGGAGAACTCAATGAATGGCTGCTCGAAAAAAATTATTATAAATGTCTTGTGTTCAAATTATTTTATTTATGTGCTGAAAATTTATAATGCAATCAAAAAAATTTCCATTTTTTTTTATCAATAAAAGAATCTTATCTTATCTATCCTTATCTTATCTATTCTTATCTTATCTTACCAGTTACAGACTGTGATAATGTGATCTGTATGTCCACTCAATATAAATTAATATCTATAGCAAATACGCATCTGCACAAAATGGGATCACCAATTGCAATATATTTTTTTTACTTTTAGAGGGTAACTTTTTGACGCCAGATTAACTCGCTCCCACTAG